GAACCCACTCTAAAATAAAAGGCTAGAATACAAAGTTAATAAATTGCTCAACAACGCTACAAAAAGATGCTGCGTTTAAATATATGTGATGCTGAGACAGAAAGGAGTGCCATTTTGGGGAAAAAAATGAAAAAGAAATTCGTCCGTTGTTGAAAAATAGGCACAATGTTGTCCTGTATTCTTCAATCTTGCGCTTGCTTACATTTTCTCAGTGCTGGCAATGTGAGTGCCTGACAGTCCGACGTATGCCCATGCATTTAGTGGAGTTGGAAGCGCCCACCCCAGAAAGCCAACTGAAGCCGACCGACCCGTCTCTTCCGTGAAAAATGATTACTTTGATGACGTGTTCGCGCAGATCGGCCCGAACTTTGTCAAGTGCCGTATTCGCTTTATGCTGTGCTGATATCACGATTGAATGCACACGTACTGGAATGCATGCCCCATAATCAAATTTACATTCCACGGTCACCTGCAATTACATGAAAGTGCAACATGCTCAGTCGAAGCTGATTTCACTGTAACGACACGGAAGAGATTCACTGTCACGCGTAAATGCAGGATTCGATGAAACACCACAGCATAGAGACGCCAATGAAACGGTCCTAAAAGTCCTATAAGAAACGTTTCCGAAAGCTGAGCCCAGCGATGACTCCTGGAAAACTGAAGGCAGTTTTGGACGCTTAACTTGCCAGCACCGAAATTGGTACGGGGATGAACGTTCGGTACAAAACAAATCTCGGGCACGCGACCATTTCACGCAAATCACTGCTTGAGGGGCAGTGAGATCAGTCTGAGGTTCGAGAATGCTTGAATAACGTTCCAACTGTAAAACACGATCACGAGAGGTGAAGTGCGAACGCACCTGCGACTTGGAATCAGGCAGTGCCCAGCCGAGCACGCCGCTTCTTCTGAGTTCATGAAGACGCGCCAACAGTTTATGTGCTAACAGCAGGGATAACGGCATGCGCTCCTCCGTTTCATCAGTTGCATAGCCAAACATCAAACCCTAAAAAACGAAACAACTTCCTGAGACGAGTTAAAAACCTCACTCGTGCAGAGACATAATCAGAACAGTGGGAGGCCATTTAAATCGCAAGAAATAGTGCGATGGAGAGGTTTATT